TTAGATTAATTTGGATTGGAAAAAACAGTTTCACATAACTTTTGTATTAATCTAAGCAACTCATAAGAACAAGATAATTCAATCAAACTTTTTTTTAATGTAATTAGCATAACTCTTAAACTAATACAAAACATGAATCTATTGACAATTTCTTTGAAATTGGATTAGCATGAACATTACCACATCAAAAACAAGTTTATAAGTTGAAAACCAGCTTTGGGTAATGTTCCTAGACCAATTCCAGCTAAAACATCAAACAGCAAGCTGTCAGCACCAAAAACTCGTCGAGTTCCTTGACGAACTTGCCGAGTTCATGCCCAAAATGATGAACTCGTCGAGTTTTTTGCATAAACTCGTCGAGTTTTATGGTCTGGACAGTTTCAGCTTTGAAAAAACAAGTTTGTATCAAGCATAAGTGAAAACAAGCCTTCGCTTTGATACCACTATTGGGTTTTGAGCATTATAACACTCCTAAGTGTACATGCAACCCTAAATACCTTGGATCTATGTTTTCTCTATTATACATGCAAATATGATTATTCCAAGGTATTACCTTAACTACCATACAATCTTTGATACTTGGGTAATAGAAATAGATACAATACATACCTCTTGATGTAGCTTGACTACTTGAACTTCGAGGGCCTAGTGCCCCAAGTGTAACACCTCAAATGGTTCACACAACATCATCAACATTTGGAATAACCATGAGAAGAAGTTACTCCAAGTTCAAATCGGCTAGCCCTCTCATATGTATCACTAGTGCCAATTTCTTGAGCTAAAGGGGTCCTTATATAATGTGCACATTAGGGTTACACCATGTAACCCATGACTTTACCCATTCCTTATGGTCCATGGGTTTTAACATCCATGGAGTATCCATGGGCCACCACATGGGTTAAACCCAACATAAGGAATCATGAATCATTGGCCCACATATATAAGAATGAATGATTTACACAATCAATCCCCATATATTTAATTAGTCTCCTTTGATCACTAAATTACGTCCAAATTAATTCTTGATCAATACTAGTTAAATAACATTATTTGATATTAATGTATTAGAACTTATAATATATTAATATGTCAAAAATATCCTCTTCTCACAAAAGGACTATCTAAATGTCCCGTTGTCATGCAGCCCAAATGGACTAGGCTGAGTCGGGTCAAGTCTTACCAATTCTAGTTATGGAATTAGACACTAATCCAACAACATCAACATTTTGTACAAAAACTAAACAATCTTTTTCAGCCTCCTCAAAAATTTCACTCATATCGCTTTCGTCAAATTCAGAAACGTTTTCGGAATCAACATTATTTTCTCAATTTAATTACTTGCATAATGAGTAATATTTTTTCATAGTACTCAATCTTATTTGTTCTTTATCCTTTTCATTTAATGTTTCTTTCAACATATTTTTATGGTCTTTGGACTTTATGTATTCCTCTATTTTCTCAAGTCCAATCATGTAAGCATTAGAAACATCATTGGAAGAAACAATCGATTCGCATTTATAATAGTCAACATCGATTTTATCCTCTTTCAGTTCAAAAAAGGGTAAAATCATTTGTGCAGACCTTTCGCTATTTTACAATCCAATTGCAATTGGGTAATATTGAAATATAAACGCTCAGCAATTAAACAAAAAATGTTCCTTTGTTTAAAAAAAATGCATGGCTATCTATCTTAAGATGAATAACATCATCACGTAACCTAGTATGCTCTAATTGAAAAGCCTCTATTCTTAATCTTTTCTCTTCACTTTTAAATGTTACCCTGTTAAGTTGATAAGTCAGATTAGAATTACTAAGACGGGTTTGTTTTAAACTATCACTAATATTAGAAATAGTATATTTTAAATCCTCTTGTTCATAATCATAACGAAAGATAGGAATATTAAGATATTTGAGTATAAAATGTACCTTGTCGACCACTTTCTCACAATCCTTCACTTGCTCCGAAACTGTCTTCACAGCAAAGCATCTTTTGTAAGCTTTACCACCATCAGTAACATAACCTCTTTATTCGGAAACACCGTTCAGAACTATTAAACACTTGCCTTCGTAACCCTGTGATTCTGACTTTGCCACAATGCTCCTTCCATGTATGGGTTTCTTTACCTCATCATCTTCCGAGTCTGTGGAACAAACCTCGAATCATCCATTTTCATCACAGCCTTCATGTATGATCAATGTCGGCTTCGCACATGATGCATTCTTTCTCCTGAGATCCTTTATCTTCTAAAGATAGTAGGCCTCGTCCTTTTCACTCTCTTTCCTTTCTTTCTATTTTCCCAACATGTATTCTTTGGCAAAGTGGTTTTTGCCATGATAGTAATTACATTCATAGCCTGAATCACTAAGAAGCTTCTTTTCATTTTTTCGTCATCATTTTGAGTGTTCTTGAAACTTTCATCTCTAGACTTTTCAGAACTTGAAATTCCCTACCTGTATTTTTCTGTAACGAGAGACGTTCTTCTTGAAGAACTTCTTAGGGTTAGATACCATCATTGCCTTATGTTTTTTTGAGACTTCGCTATCTGAAAGGTCAGATTCAGAATCATCCTCTGTTGTTTTCTTTCCCTTCACAACCAACGCCAAGGATCCTATACCAGAACAAGCTTCACTTACTTAGTCACTTCTTCCTCGTTAAATCTCAGAATGCCCACGAGTTTGGCCAAGGAATAACTTTTAAATTGTTCATGTGCCTTCACTGTGGACAAATAGCTTTCCATTCTGACCTAAGACCATTCATGAACGTGACTTTCTATTCAATAACACATCACTCAAGAGTATATTTGAGCATTCTACTTAGCAAGTGGTGGAACCGATTGAAGGTCTGATCTAACTTCTCATCGGGTTTTTCAACAAAAGAACCAAACTCAGATTAAAGAGTTGTTTATAAAGAGTGTTCTATAGCAACATCTCCTGAATATAGCTCATTTAGCCTATCTCATATACTCTTAGCAATATCATATAAGCTTACGAGATGAAAGTGTATGGATGAAGAGCAAAATGTATAATTCTCATTGCCTTTGTGTTGCTCATTAACTTATTATTTTCATCCTAAAGAACAGCAGTGTGTTCAAGAATAAGAGCATCGTAGTCAGCCTGAGTCTTCATTACCCTCGTTGTCTCCGTATGCGAGTACATCTCCTGTGTTATTACATGCCATATAGTTGATACATGTTCTCCAATACCAAGAACGTAATCTTCAAATTGCAACGCCCATACATCATAATCTTGTGGGAAGAGGATCAGAATTCTTGTCGTAGATCCAATACTATTAGAGAGATTGAACAAAAGAGAATGAGGATCTTCGTTCTACATATTGTCAGAAGTTAACAAGACCTAATATAGAACCAGATACGTAATACTCGAATCGAGTTCAAAGGATTTTAAGATATCTAGATCTAGAGTTTACAATCGATGGATACAATTAAAACAATAAGAACAGATCCAAGAGAAAAACATAAAACCATAATGGAACTCGACATAAGAATAACGAATTACACTATCTCCTACTGTGATACCAATTGTGTGAACAATAAATAAGATTGATAGATTCTATAATAGAGAACGTGAATTAAATGACAAGAACAAAGATAAAAAAAAAAAAAAAAAAAAAGAAGGTGTTGAATGCTTTGATTAATCAAGTCTAGAAGAGTTTGCAAGCACCTCTATGTAAGAACTTACAAATGGCAATTAGCGTTGGAAAGTGTTAATCCTAATGATATATGCATGCACTATAAATAGTCTAAAATACATAGCGGATCCGAGAATGGAGAAGCCCAAACCGGAATGAAACAAACTATACCATGCACACATTTAACACAATTAAGCCCAACAATAGGCGACGGGTAAAATCTAAATTTCCAATTCTATGTGTGTATGTAGCAAACCCAAAGAATTTGAAGGTGTATTGCCAATGAAGGAACTAAAATCTATATGAAGAGTATGAAAATAATGGTAGGAAGCCTTTAGCCGTGGGCCTTGATACCTTTGGGAGGACATATCGATTCAAGGATCCATAAGGGAATCCTTTATGTGTGGGCATTTATTCATTTCTATGTTCGTTTTAATTATTGTTTATTTATTGTTTGCTTTATTTTAGGAGAAAATTCAAGATTTGCATGAGAAAATGTAAAGAGAGATTAGAGAGGGTGGAAATGAAAATGAGGAAGAATGTCTCATTCGTACCCTCGGGACGAGATGAGGACATGCTCATCATAGGTCTAGTTCCAAATGAACGACCTTCCAAATCTTTCCAATCTCTCAATCCACATCTCAATCGCAATTTCATTCATATAACCAACAAATGCAACAAAACTTGCAATAATATAATGACTTGTTGGCGGCTTTTATTCCTAACTTTCAACCACCACCAAACCTTAACTTTCTATTCAATCTCTACACACAAGAAAATACATATCAACAAACCAAAGAGATTGAGGGGTGGAAAAGAAGAAGAATATGATGATGATGTTTATTTTTTGTTTTATTTTGAAGAATTTTAGTTATTGTATCCCATTTTTGTATGTAATATTAGTCTTGAATTTGAAGTTGGTAATATCTATTGAATGTTCCTTGCAAAGTTCAACATATAGCTTCCAAGAAGTGAGCGCACACATATTCATCAAATGTTCTTTCAAAGTTCAACATTGGCACACATTAATTGGCCTTGTAGGAGTTCAACATCAGCATACAGGAGTCCTGATCAATCCTCTCCAGGTAGTCACCATCGATGCTGCTTGATCACCTTCGGTAATGATATTTGTTCTCTCTCTCTCTCTCTCTCTCTCTCTCTCTCTATATATATATATATATATATATATATATATATATATATATATATATATATATATATATATATATATATATATATATATATATATATATATATATATATATATATATATATATATATATATATCAGCGTCATTGAGACACCCACCATCACCAGAAAGTAAAAGGCTTCTGCTTTACCCTCAACATTCATGTCAACCTCCCTAGAATTTCCTATTCATTTCCATGGTTTGATCATACATAGTGATAATGGGAGATGGGAAAGATCTATCCGAAATGATACCATCTCAGCTGGAACTGATACCTTAACTGGAGTCCAATCAAAAGACGTGGTTATCTCACACGAATCCAACGTTTTTGTAAGGCTTTACATTCCCAAAACACCAATCCCTAATCGGAAACTTCCAACTCTGATTTACTATCACGGTGGTGCTTTTGTGACCAAATCCGCTGCTTCACCCACTTACCATCCGACACTTAACTTGATAACGACAGAATCAAACGTGATTGCTGTGTCGGTAAACTACAGGTTGGCCCCAGAATATCCTTTACCAATTGCATACGAGGACTCATGGGAGACAATTAAGTGGGTGGCTGGTCATGTTAGAGGAAACGGTCCAGAATCATGGCTAAACGACCATGCTGATCTTCAGAATGTGTTCTTAGCTGGAGATAGTGCTGGGGCTAACATCGCCCACAATATGGCCATCCGGGTCGGGTTGAACCATGAGAAAGTTATTAACATAGAGGGTGTTGTTATGCTCCACCCGTATTTTGGAGGAAAAGATCCAATTGGAGCTGAGTCCGAGAAAAATAAAAATCAGAAAGAGTTGATAGATTTTGCATGGCTGCAGGCAAACCCATCAGGGAATGGATCAGACGACCTGCAGTTTAATCCGGGCATGGATCCGAATCTTTCTGCTTTCGGGAGCTCTAAGATACTTGTGTGTATTGCTGAGAAGGATGCACTAAGGGAAAGGGGTCTGAATTATAAGAAGGTGATGGAAACGAGTGGGTGGAATGGCCAAGTGGAATTGATGGAGAGCAAAGGGGAGGGCCATGTATTCTTTTTTTCTAATACTTCATGTGAAAATTCTCGTTTCTTACGCAACAGAATTTCTAACTTTATAAATCCGAGCTGATGAAAAGCTTATGTTTATTGTTGGCAAGTAGGTGTTTGCCATGCTTTGCTCGAATAACTATCAATAAAGAAACTACATCTATAAACTTATCACGTCTAATTCATTATTGATAATATGTATTACAGATGTTAACCGAATGAAATCGGCTCACACTAATGTATACCATGGGTATATATCAGTTATGTTATTTCTCTATTATTCAATGGATATTATTATCAAAAGATTTATTGATAGAACCCAAGGACTCAAAGATTGGTATCTTAGCCTTGGTGGATACCGCTAAATAATATTATACCAATCTAGAGAGGAATTTATCTCTCTCATCCAGAATAAATTCATTCGTAATCCTCTTGAGCACACCATGGAAGAATATCTTAAAATGAAATGTTGTTCCTTCAACAGGAGAGTTCTTGAAATACATTATGACCGAATGTGCCAAGGGTTGTACATTGACTGCATGGATAGATGATGTAAACCTCAAAGGAGTCTTTTTGAACTCCTTTCCCGAGTCCCTTGCAAGCAAAGCAGAAAAACACTTTGAGTTCAAAAATGTTAATATGGCACAAACTCCAACTACTACAAAAAAACACTTATATTAACAGGTTAAATCAATTAAAAAACCCGGTTTTGAACCCTCTCTTATGGCTGGCGAGTCTTAACTGAAAAAAGAAATAAGACCCTGTTTCAAAACCGGGTCCTTTCATGCTTAAAAGAACACGGTTTTAATTAAAAATAACCGAGCCCTTTCAGGTCTAAAAGAGCACAATTTCAAATTAAAAAAACAGGACATAACACAGTACTCAATATAACACACAAGACCCTCCGGTCACACAACTTAGATTACCACTCTAGGTATCTATAGTGAGAAGATTCATCTCGTATGAATCGGATAACCTCGAACTCAAATCACCGGTTTAGCCTCCACCTAATCACATAAGACAATTATCCCTAATTAATAACGGCACTCAAGAAGCTAACCTAACCCTTCTACAAACTCACAGAAGGGTAAAAGACCATTTTACCCCTCCATGGTCTTACTAGTCGATAATTTCACATAACTTTTCTATTAATCTAAGCAACTTATAAGAACAAGATAATTCAATCAAACTTTTTTCATGTAATTAGCATAACTCTTAAACTAATACAAAACATGAATATATTGACAATTATCTTTGACATTGGATTAGCATGAACATTACCACATCAAGGACAGATTTATAAGTTGAAAACAGCTTTGGGTAATGTTCCTAGTCTAATTCCAGCTAAAACATCAAACAATCAAGCTGTCAGCACCCAAAAATCGTCGAGTTCCTTGAGGAACTCATCGAGTTCATGCCCAAAATGATGAACTCATCGAGTTTTTTGCAAAAACTCGTCGAGTTTTATGGTCTGGACAGTTTCAACTTTGAAAAAACAAGTTTGCATCAAGTATAAGTGAAAACAAGCATTGACTTTGATACCACTGTTGAGTTTTGAGCATTCTAACACTCCTAAGTGTACATGCAACCCTAAATACCTTGGATCTATGTTTTTTCTATTATACATGAAAATATGATTATTCCAAGGTATTACCCTAACTAGCATACAATCTTTGATACTTGGGTAATAAAAATAGATACAATACATACCTCTTGATGTAGCTTGACTCTTTGAAGCTCGAGATCCTAGTGCCCCAAGTATGACACCTTAAATGGTTCACATAACATCATCAACATTTGGAATAACCATGAGAAGAAGATACTCCAAGTTCAAATCGTCTAGTCCTCTCATATGTATCACTAGTGCCAATTTCTTGAGCTAAATGGGTCCTTATATAGTATGCATATTAGGGTTACATCATGTAACCCATGACTTTACCCATTCCTTATGGTCCATAGGTTTTAACTTCCTTGGAGTATCCATGGGCCACCACATCGGTTAAACCCAACATAAGGAATCATGAATCATAAGCCCACATTAATAAGAATGAATGATTTACACAATCAATCCCCATATATTTAATTAGACTACTTTGGTCACTTAATTAAGTCCAATTTAATTCTTGATCAATACTAATTTAATAATATTATTTCATATTAATATATATATATATATATATATATATATATATATATATATATATATATATATATATATTAGAACTTATAATATATATCAATATGTCACAAATATCCTCTTCTCACAAAAGGTCTATCCAAATGTTCTAATGCCATGCAACCCAAATGGACCATGCCGAGTCGGGTCAAGTCTTACCAATTATAGTTATGGACTTAGACACTAATCAAACAACATCAACATTTTGTACAAAAACAGAACAATCTATTTCAGCCTCCTCAGAAATTTAACTCATATCGCTTTCGTCAAATTCAGAAATGTTTTCGGAATCAACAGTATTTTCTCAATTTAATTTCTTGCATAATGAGTCATATTTTTGCATAGTACTCAATCTTATTTGTTCTTTATCCTTTTAATTTAATGTTTTTTTCAACATATTTTTATGGTCTTTGGACTTTATGTACTCCTCTATTTTCTCAAGTCCAATCATGTAAGCATCAGAAACACCATTCGAAGAAACAATGTATTCGCATTTATAATAGTCAACATCGATTTTATCCTCTTTCAGTTCAAAAAAGGGTAAAATCATTATGTGTAGAATTTTCGCTATTTCACAATCCAAATGCAATTGAGTAATATTGAAATATAAACACTCAGCAATTAAACAAAAAATGTTCCTTTGTATGCATGGCTATCTCTCTTAAGATAAATAACATAATCACGTAAAATAGTATGCTCTAATTCAAAAGCCTCTATTCTTAATCTTTTCTCTTCACTTTTAAATGTTACCCTGTTAAGTTGATAAGTTAGATTAGAATTACTGAGATGAGTTTGTTTTAAATTATCACTAAAATTAGAAATGGTATATTGTAAATCGTCTTGTTCAAAATCATAACGAGAGATAGGAAAATTAAGAGATTCGAGTATAGAATGTACCTTGTTGACCACTTTCTCGCATTCCTTCACTTGCTCTGAAACTGTCTTTGTAGCAAAGCAGCTTTCGGAAGCTTGACCACCGTCAGTAACATACCCTCTTTGTGCTGAAACACCATTCTGAACTATTAAACACTTGCCTTCATAACCCTGCGATTATGACTTTGCCACAATGCTCCTTCCATGTATGGGTTTCCTAACCTCATCATCTTCTGAGTCTGTGGACCATACCTCGAATCGTCCGGCATCATCACTGCCTTCATGTATGATCAACGCCGGCTTCGCACTTGATGTATTCTTTCTCCTGAGTTCCTTTATCTTTTGAAGATAGTAGGCCTCGTCCTTTTCACTCTCTTTCTTTTCGTTCTGTTTTCCCAACGTGCATTCTTTGGCAAAGTGGTTTTTTCCATGACAGTAATTACATTCATAGCCTGAATCACTAAGAAGCTTCTTTTCTTTCTATTCTTCATCATTTTGAGTGTTCTTGAAACTTTCATCTCTACTCTTTTCAGAAATTGAATTTTCATACCTGTGTTTTCTTGTAACGAGAGAAGTTCTTCTTGGAGAACTTCTTAGGGTTAGATACCATCATTGCCTTATGTTCTTTTGAAACTTTGCTATCTGAAAGGTCAGATTCAGAATCATCCTCTGTTGTTTTCTTTCCCTTCACAACCAACACCAAGGATCTTATGCCAGAACAAGCTTCACTTACTTAGTCACTTCTTCCTCGTGAGATCTCAAAATTCCCAGGAGTTTCGCCAAGGAATAACTTTTAAATTGTTCATGTGCCTTCATTATGGACACAATAGCTTTCCATTATGACCAAAGACCATTCATGAACGTGACTTCCTATTCAATAACACGTCACTCAAGATTATATTTGAGCATTCTACTTAGCAAGTGGTGGAAGCGATTGAAGGTTTGATCTAACTTCTCATCGGGTTTTATAAAGAGTGTCCTATATCAGCATCTCCTGAATATAGCTCATTTAGCCTATCTCATATACCCCTAGCAGTATCATATAAGCTTACGAGATGAAAGTTTCAGGAGGAAGAGCAAACTGTATAATTATCATTGCCTTTGTGTTTCTCATTAACTTATTATTCTCATCCTGAAGAACAACAGTGTGTTCATGAATAAGAGCATCCTAGTCAGCCTGAGTCTTCATTACTCTCGATGTCTCCGTATGCGAGTACATCTCCTGTGTTATTGCATGCCATATAGTCGATACATGTTCTCCAATACCAAGAACGTAATCTTCAAACTGCAACACCCATACATCATAATCCTGTGGGAAGAGGATCGAAATTCTTGTCGTAGATCCAATACTATTAGAGAGATTGAACAAAAGAGAATGAGGATCTTCGTTCTACATATTGTAAGAAGTTAACAAGACCTAATATAAAACCAGATACGTAATACTCGAATCGAGTTTAAAGGATTTTAAGATATCTAAATCTAGAATTTACAATCGATGGATACGATTAAAACAATAAGAACAGATCCAAGAGAAAAACATAAAACCATAATGGAACTCGACAGAAGAATAGCGAATTACACTATCTCCTACTGTTATACCAATTGTGAGAACAATAAATAAGATCGATAGATTCTATAATACAGAACGTGAATTAAATGACAAGAACAAAGATCAAAAAGGTACTTAATGCTTTGATTAATCAAATCTAGAAGAGTTCTCAAGAACTTCTCTATAAGAGCTTACAAACGGCAATTAGGGTTGGAAAGTCTTAATCCTAATGATATATGCATGCACTATAAATAGTCTAAAATACATAGCGGATCCGAGAATGGACAAGCCCGAACCGGAATGAAACAGACTATACCATGCACACATTTAACACAACACAATTAAGCCCAACAATGGGGGACGGGTAAAATCTAAATTTCCAATTCTATGTGTGTATGTAGCAAACCCAAAGAATTTGAAGGTGTATTGCCAACGAAGGAACTAAAATCTATAAGAAGAGTATGAAAATAATGGTAGGAAGCCTTTAGCCGTGGGCCTTGATACCTTCGGGAGGACATATCGATTCGACCATCCATAAGGGAAGCCTTTATGTGTGGGCATTTATTCATTTCTATGTTCGTTTTAATTATTGTTTATTTATTGTTTGCTTTATTTTAGGAGAAAATTCAAGATTTGTATAAGAAAATGTAAAGAGAGATCATAGAGGGCGGAAATGAAAATGAGGAAGAATGTCTCGCTCGTACCCTTGGGACGAGATGAGGGCATGCTCAACATAGGTCTAGTTCCAAATCAACGACCTTCCAAATCTTTCCAATCTCCCAATCCACATCTCAATCGCAATTTCATTCATATAACCAACAAATGCAACAAAACTTGCAACAATATAATGACTCGTTGGCGGCTTGTATTCCTAACTTTCAACCACCACCAATCCTTAACTTTCTATTCAATCTCTACACACAAGAAAATACATATCAACAAACCAAAGAGATTGAGGGGTGGAAAAGAAGAAGAATATGATGATGATGTTTATTTTATGTTTTATTATGAAGAGTTTTAGTTATTGTATCCCATTTTGGCATGTAATATTAGACTTGAATTTGAAGAATGTGTGTTGGTAATATCTATTTAATTAATGTTCCTTGCAAAGTTCAACATATAGCTTCCATGAAGTGAGCGCACACATATTCATCAAATGTTCTTTCAAAGCTCAACATTGGCACACATTAATTGGCCTTGTACGAGTTCAACATCAGCATACAGGAGTCCTAATCAATCCTCTCCAAGTAGTCACCATCGATGCTGCTTGATCACCTTCTGTAATGATATTTGTTTTCTCTCTCTCTCTCTCTCTCTCTCTCTATATATATATATATATATATATATATATATATATATATATATATATATATATATATATATATATATATATATATATATATATATATATATATATATACTATTCTATAAAACATATTGGATATTTCTTGAATTTTAAGAGGTACCATACTTTAAGCAAAATGTACAAACATCTTATGCTCCAAAGAAAATTAACGCATACTGTGACTCTTCTTTTCCTCACATCTTGCCCAAATTAGATCGTAGATAGACGCTCTCTCACTTTGCCATTCTCTCACTCCCTTTTTCTCTACAAACCATATTCCAACACGACCACCACCCGTTATCGCCGCCGGCACCAACCATTCACCACCACACGAAACCTTCACAACCACTATCATCACCGCACAAGACCGCCACAGCAACTAGGAATCACCGATGCAATGAAGAATCATAGCAGCATAAACGATTTACTATCACGGTGGTGCTTTTGTGACCAAATCCGCTGCTTCACCCACTTACCATCCGACACTTAACTTGATAACGACAGAATCCAACGTGATTGTTGTGTCGGTAAACTACACAGAATATCCTTTACCAATTGCATACGAGGACTCATGGCAGGCAATTAAGTGGGTGGCTAGTCATGTTAGAGGAAATGGTCCAGAAACATGGTTAAACGACCATGCTGATCTTCAGAATGTGTTCTTAGCTGGAGATAGTGCTGGGGCTAACATCGCCCACAATATGGCTATCCGGGTCGGGTTGAGCCATGATAAAGTTTTTAACGTAAGTGGTGTTATTATGCTCCACCCGTATTTTGAGGGTAAAGATCCAATTGGAGCTGAGGCCAAGAGATTTAAACTGCACAAAGAGTTCATAGATATGATGTGGCTGTTGGCAAACCCATCAGGGAATGGGTTAGATGACCCGCTATTTAATCCGGGCATGGACCCGAATATTTCTGCTTTTGGAAGCTCCAAGATACTTGTGTGTGTTGCTGAGAAGGATGCACTGAGGGAAAGGGGTCTGAATTACAAGAAGGTGATGGAGACGAGTGGGTTGAAAGGCAAAGTAGAGTTGATGGAGAGCAAAGGGGAGCTGCATGTCTTTTTTTTGTTTAATACTTCATCTGAAAATTCTTGTTTATTACGCAATAGAATTTGTAACTTTTTGAATCCGATCCGATGCAAAGCTTGATGATATACGTTTGTTATTGGAAAGTGGTTGTTTGCCATGCTTCGTTAAGTTTATTAAAATATGTTATCAATATCAATTATAACATAACATGTCACGATGTATAAACATTTATACTACAAAAATAAAGCTCCAAACCTAACTCAAATTTTAAAAATGTATTTGGCTATAAGGTTAAATTAAATATATGAAAAGTCACTATTTTAGTTTTGAGGGATGTAAAGAATTATTAGTTCAATTGGATATATTAAAAATAGTGCCAAAATATCGTTACAAAGAAGTGTCCAGTTGAGCAAAATGTATTTCAAAATACTATAAATTTTGATAATAATATTTTACGAAAAAAAAAACATAAAAACGGTATTATCATAATTTTGATTTATGATTAATTTTTCTCGGTGATAAATTGTCTTAATAATCTCCATCTATACTCCCTAATAAATAAAGATTTTTTTTTACCACTTTTTAATCTTTCATGAGTTTTGATACTTATTATTGTATAGTTATTTTCAATTAATTTTTTTCCACATGACATTTTGTGTTTTTTTTTATTTTATTAATTTTCACATAATATTTAAATATAATAAATGGAATAAATGTAATAATAAATGTATATCAATTTAATTAATTGATTTTCTTTTAATTTCAAGTTTTCTAAATTAAAGTTTTATTAGTTTTCTTTGTTTAATTATCTAAATTATTTGTTTAATTTAAGAAGAAAAACAAATAATTTTATTTTAATAATTAATATTTTTAATTTTTTTATAAATTTAAACTTCTCAAATGTTTAGAATTTCATATTTTTTTTCTTTAAAATGAACTTATGTAATACATGGGTTTTACACTTAGTTCTTAATAAAAAAAATCTCCTACATACCACATATCCATCTTTTCAACAAACCTTTTGCCACGTCGCATTCTCTCCAGCAATTCTATATATTTTTTCCCGCCCAGCGATATCAAATGTGTAACCAAAATCTGTATCCCTAAACCTAGTTACCGAATTTGGTGCAAATTTAGTTACCATATTATCCCTTCATTCAAATTTAATTTCAAATACGTAAATCAGTAATATCCCATATAATCAACAATAATTTTGAATTTATTAATCTTTTACCAAATTTACAACAAGTTCTTTTGTGTTGTGATTCAAACCTTTCCCAATTTTGGTCATCATCTTGCATTCTTCCCAAATCTATTACCGTAAATTATGTGATTTCATCCAATCTCTCACACGTTAAATATCCTTTTGATACCTGCTTGTTCATAACCCTTCTCCTTCTTAGCTACTCATCTCATCTCATGTAACCTTTTCTTTTTGGGTTTAGGCAAAAACGGGATCACATCCTGAAATTGTAAAGACATATCCTCAATTCAATTCCTTTGGACCTCCTAATTAATGTATGTTCAATCACCATCAGAGGTAAATCCGTATGTGTTTGTTAATTTCATTCTTCTATTCCTTCAATTTCTCAATAGCTAATTAGTCTCGATGTTTTCTATTTTTATTATTTTTCCTGTTTTTGTTCTATTCATCACAAGCCAATAACCTAACATGTGCTTGTTGAAATTTAAACAATTTTTATGCTTGATCATATTATGTATGGGGGTATTTCTTGATGGGAGTAAGGGACTTAAAGATGAGGAAGAGGGTAACCACTTTTCATGCCAACTTTATTCGGAAAACTAAAAGCATAATAGTCATTTATGAGTTAACTAAAAGGAGACGAAAATGTAATTATCCTGGCAAGTCATTTTCCCTTAAGGCTATCCAAAGTAGAGTGTGGATTCACGCATGAAAGTCTGTGTGACAGCCCAAGGGATGCGTGAATACCACCCCTATGTCCGGTGGTTTGCTGTGGCGTCTCCATGAAGACGGAGTAAGAAACCCAATAGGAAAATGGCAGCAACCTCAGTCCCTTTCTATCTCTCTCTTCTTTTTGTCTCTTCACCACCAAACTACCAGTGAACATCATTTCCACAACCAGGTGGGTTGGTTGTGAAATGGTTAAAAATCTACGTGACCTTCTTTTCACATATAAACCACTCGTGAGGATACTCCATAGCCTAATCAATTATCATTATTATACTTATGATTAAAAATACCTTTTAATAATTAAACAATAACTATTTGTTTACTTTTAATTAACAAATTTAATACCGCATGTATTTGTATATTATTTAATAAAATTAACTGAAATAAAAGTGCATCCCATTTCTTCTTGCTTAAAACTCTAGCTATAATTTAAAACTCACGTTGCACATTCTTTCTTAAGAGAGCATATATGTTGCCATCAAATACATCCTCAGTAAACAGACGATTGTCGTCACCGATCCACCATCGTCATCGGACAACTGTTGTCACTGTATCAACGTTGCCACGGACCAATGTCACCACAGGTAAAGACAAGACCACGCAACTCAAGCCATTCGTTAGATTATCCTCTCTCCTTCTATCTCTTTGGATCTACTTTTCTCAGGAGGTAGACCGTCGACGTTTGACCGACGATAGGTCTCCAATCTGTCTTAACCTTTCGATCTTTCTCTCTTTCTCTCTCTCTCTCTCTCTCTCTCTCTCTCTTTTTATTTTTCATATTGGTTTCCGATGATAATGATGTGTAACGACCCGAAAATCCTACCGTAAACGATGCTAGTTTTTCCGCTACTCAAAGAACTATTTATGCAAAATATTTTAGCTTTATGAGGTTAAAATGGAATAAATTAACTAAAAATAGTATTATTTAATACCTAAAAGAATGATCAAATATATTTAAAATGTATATAACTTAATTAACTGGTCCTTTGGGTAAGCACAATTTATTTGATGGTGTAAATGATGTTGAGGGACTGAAGTGTCAATAAAAGAAAGTTAGATTGTCAAGTTATTAGGGTTGGGGCTGATTGCGATTTAATCAAGGAAATATGGGGGGGGTTGTTGTGAAAAATCATTTATAACTACCAATGAGCATGCAATTCGACGAGAATTGAAGGAATCGCACGTTTTCTTGTGGCCATCGACGGAAGTTGTTAACACCCTCCCTCGTGTTCTTCTTGGGTGGCAGTGATCGATCAAAAAAAAAAAAAAAAAAACCCCGAATCCAATTGCTTGGGCTATGAAGTGCGACTATCGGCAATAGAGAAGGACAAGGGAGAGACGAGCGCGAGAGGGTTTACAAGGTTGCGATCGACTCCTAGTTTCCCTCATGTGTGTGTTGTCGATCAGCAAGGAAGAAAAACAATCGAGCGTGATTAGGAGCGGGGCAGCAGGAACGATCGAGAGGGTGTAAGGCTGGCGCGACTTGAGCCGGTTGGCTGTTTTCGTTTTTTGGTTCGGTGTTGTGTTCAAAATTGCGTCTCTAATCTGGTGCTTTAATCGACCTCTTATATTGGTAACTCCATGATTCTTGATTCTTTATATAATTATCTTTCAATTCCTTTCCAATTTGTATCAATAATCATGATTTCTTTTACTTCCTCCTTATGATTGCTTGAATGGACAAAGTCCAGATTTTGTAAGGTATTTTATTGATTAGTTTCCTGTCAAAGTCCTATAAATTCCCTTTTACATGTTGGTGTGGGTGATTGGGAGTTGGTTGGATTGGTTAAGTCAAATGCTCTCTTTTGGTGTCATTACTCACATCGTTTATCTTCAATTCTTGTGATTTCTTGTGTAATGATTTTATGTTTAAGAGTATGTTTCCAACTCTTCATAAGATCCTCAAAATAGTTTTGCAGTATATTCAAATATGTGAATTAGTGGGAGAAATTCAAACCCAAGTTGGTTCTCTTTTTAACATCACATGTTGTCTTTCCATTAAAGACAATGTACTTTGGTATATGGTTGGAGGGTGAAACCATCTTTTTACTCTCATGTTATATTGCTACTGTTTTAAACATGTTTTGAAGCCATGTGGTCGATTTGGGTGGTGACTTAAAGGGTGAAGTGGTCAAAATGTCCTTGAAATTCAAAGCTCGAAAATTCTGAAAAATTTCCCATTCTGCCCCTGTTTTGGAAAAAATGTAGAAAAATCATCAGTCGTATCAGTGATCCGTAAACTCTCAAAGATTTCATAATTCATATTGAGTCTAGTTTGTCCATGAATTTTTCCAATACCTGTTGTTGCCTCCAACTTAGGTGAAAATCGCCTTTTTCACTAACTGGTCGGAAATTAGCTGTACGGATAGACTGTTTTGTAAAAATCATATAAAATTGTAGAAAAATCGTTTGGACTTTTAAAAGTAATTTCTGAAAAGATAAAAGTACAAACTACTGGAATATACAAAAATATTGTATAATTTGCCGTCCTTGGTGGTGTTAAAATGGCGTTGAACATGTGGCTGTTACGGGTCAAAATCTTGAACTTTGTTCTAAACGTTCGTCTATATGTTTAGGCATTCTACTCTCAATGTTTTTGTGTCATCTGTTTGATATTCTCATAAAAGTACATAATTGATGTCTTAATACTACCATTCAATCATCTTGTGTGTAAAATTGAGCATCTTTAATCATTTACCTAAAGTCTTGAATCATATAGTGATTTTTGGTGAGTGTTAGAATTCTGCACAACAACTTTTCCCCATCTTGCGAGAGATATAGCTGCTAGTATGGGAAGAATTGGAAGATGCTCCTCTCTCATGAAGTTCTAGGAAATCGAGTCTAGTTTTCAGAAAGTCCGAATTTAGTCCAATCGAAGTTACAGATTCTGTTGTATGACCAAAACACTGAACAGTGGTCAAGCTGTGAAACTTAAAAAAAATATATGTAACCCATTAAGAAATTAAAGGTGTTGATGAAACTTGGACCCCATTTTGATGATTGCTTGGTATGTATGATTATTAGGTGAAAACTTGACAACTTCAAGAAGGGTAAAGACTTGAATTAAAAAGAAGAACTCGCTTCAAACATAAGGTGAGTCGACAATTTTTGTTGACTTTAGTGCATAACCGGAAACCACATCTCGTGGGTGGTTTGTTGATGCAAATTAGGATTCATGCTAGATTTT